TTTAGCGTCACTTTTTCGTTTCAACAAGTTTCAAATCACAACGATTTGAAAGAAGTTTTCACTTCAAAATAACTACAGCTTTACCAGATTTCGTTGTAATTAAAGGACTTCATAAAATAGCGGAAAAGGCGTCGTATTTGTGAATATAGTATTTATATTGCATTCGAAGAGAGGCAAACTTCCATTTTTGCCGGTAATTGCAAGAATTTTTGATATAACCGAATTGGACGACGCTGAATCGAATGGTGCTAATTTTTTTGCAATAAGATCTCAAAGAATTGAGAAAAAGGGTAAAAAAATGGCCGTATCTTAGAATTTATGCATTTAATCGAAAAAAGTTTCAAGCAAAAGTTGTGCAAAATTAAAAAAATACATAAAAAATGTTGTAAGTTTTATATTCGTATTTGCAAAAATAAGCGAGAAATTTTGGTGAAACATTTCTTCGTCGATCTTTACACGCGAGCGGGCTAGTTGCGTTATCTTAGGGTCTCTCGGTCGTGAATGCGTGTGCGAGTGAGAAAAGAAATGGATATTTCTCTCTTTCTAATTTTTCGTTTTGACGATCGAGTGTCGAGCGTTCTGTATATCTATATATATATCGGCGTATAAGCGCGGCATTTTTAAATCGAATCTTGATGCTTACGGCATGCCTTTTTTCTATTTATTGTCAAAATAGTTAACCTTGATTAAAAGAAAAACAATAATTCATTTTAACAAAAACTATTATTATTCAGTCAAAAGTAAAAATAATGAATTATTTTGTATCTCGACAAAAAATTAATTGGTATAATTAATTGATATAAATTTTTTGCCCCACAAAAATTTATTTGTATATTAAATTGAATACGTTTTCTTTTTAAGACGAAATTTATAATTCAAAAATTTTTCGTATTAAATTTTGTATTTTAGAAAATTTTTAATTACAGATTTGTTAAAAACGTGGAATTTATTTTTTGTCTAAACATTATTTTAATTCATTTTTATTATGTTATAAGAAAACAGTAATGCATTTTTAATATGATTATTCATCTAAAAGTCAATTTAAGTTTCATTCTATATTTATATCAATTTATCAATAAAATTTATTTCTTTGTAAGCACATTAGACGATATATTACACTTTTTTGCGAATATTTTGGAAATTCGTCATAAGATTAAAAAGAATCTATAGATACAAGAAAAACTACGCGTTGAGAATATAATTTTTTTTTTTTTTTTATTAACAACCTCTCCCTGAATTTTACAATTCGTCCACTTCCAACATTTGAATGTTCATTTGTGAACATTTAGTAAATTGGTTTACCAATTTGATAATCCTAACGCGTAGACTCATACTATCTCAGCAGAACATACTTTAAAAAATCAGTTGGTTCTCTGACTGGACACTAGATGGCAAAATACCATTTGCCGTTTCTCGAAGGTAATATAGTACATTAAGGTGTATATAAAGGATTCAAGAATCGGTACAATTTAAGATCATACTTCACAGGATCATTTCTGTAGTTAGTCTTCAAAACTGCTTAGCGTAAAGCTGAGTCGGTGCAACTACGATGACGAGTTGTAGCTCCCTTCCTTGAGCGTGAGGACGATATAGAATCTTGGTTTTAACGTCAAGATTCTGGTCACCGATGATCGTTCACTCCTTTCACTCTGTAAAGGGAGCTATGGGAAGCAGAGCTTTCTGAGTAGATGTTAATGTAAAATTCAAAAATAAATATCTTCCTAATAATGAAACTTTTCCCTTGCAAGGACTTTTACATTTAAATCTTCTTCAATATCGTTGTGATTTGAACTTGACGATAAGAGAACAAATATTTCGTCGTTAACAGAGAGGGGTGGTGGCGGTCATGTACGATAATTTAATGAAGTATTTACACCAGAAGGAAGAGTTGCGACGAAATTTAATGAGATTACGATAAAATTCCAATGACTTTAGGAGTTGGGACTTTATTAGGAATTCTGCATCGTTTACAGCGCTCCCATTGATGGAATTTCTGGAGACAAATTAAATTTAAAATGATGTTGCAGCATCATCGCATTAAATTGACAACATAATTAAAAGCAGTTATTGATGTTGTATTTCAGAAATCATTGATCAAATCCGAATAAAAGATTTAATTTCATTCTTTATTTACCAAAAGCCAGTGATGTTGTTATTTGTTGTAATTGAAAACACCTCTATTATTAGGTTAGCAGCTTACACACACACACACAATATATTTCATCGATGTCATCCCAAAATACAAACCTTGATGAAATCGGTTTTTTGTTTAGCAAATAGTCACCCACAGAGATATAATAATACTACCAACTTTCTTTCAAGAGATCGTCGTTTTCTTTTTATCATTCCTTTAACATATCTTACATTGACCCAGCGCATACATACACACTAAACTTGCATCCCATAAATATACACAAGTAAAGGTTCTAGCGATAGTTACTCACAAACATGGCAGTAAATCGTGATGCGTTTTGTAAACAGTCAAACATTTTAAAATTGGAATTAATTTATTTTGAATGATAAGCGCAATTAAAAAATTTGTTATTGTCGTCAATCAATATTATTTATAACGTACTAATAAAAAAAATTGTTTGAAACAAAATTGTTGTTCTGGTAAAGCCTAATTCAACTTTGTATAATATCGCGTAAGAAGTTTCATTTTAAATATAGCTTATGTAAAGGCTAGCTGTTACTAATCATTTTCTGATCTCATATTTTAGAAGTTTAGAAATAGTCATACGATTAAGATTTTTGGGTGATTCTAAAATATAAAAAGAAATAGCTAAATGTTTATTTAACAGCTAAAGTGCTAAAAATAATCATTGCGAAACACTGCATAAGAAATATACGTGTCTTATAATCATATTCTTATGATATTTCCTTTTTCATGATTTATTAGCGATAAGATTGTATTGTATTTTGTAGTTTTGATTTTGTTAACAAGAAAATATGTTGTTCTATTCAATTTTAAAAGCTATTATATTTATTTAATCTACTACATTTACTAATGAAATAGAGAATAATTCTTAAGAATAATAACTATTCTCTGCTGTTTCTTCTTTCGAGTAGAACGAACAAAAGAAAATCTGTTTTCAAAGAAAAGAAAGGATATAACGAACATTTATTGTCTGCGTTTATTTTATTTTTGTTTTCATAGTTTTTAAAAGAAATGCGATTTCTAACTACTAGGCTACTCTCACTCTCTCTCTCTCTCTCTCTCACTCTCTGTGCATCTATAGATATTTATAAATTTTGCGTTGGAAATACTGAAAGAGGCTATGAGCACTTGTTTTTAATATTTTTTTGTAGTAACAATTTAGTTCAAAATACAAAAAAAAATAAATAATATTGTTTGAATGTAGTAAAATTCAGTTGTTCGATTATTGAAAAATATTTTCATAAAAATGTTTCTTCACTCAAAATTTCGTCGTTCTCGGCGTACTTGATAATTGAATTCCTAACATATAGTACAGTCAGTGCGTTTCAAAGTCTGCCGTATTCGAAAGGTTAAATCAATAAAGAAACTTTATCATCGTATTAGAACATGACGAACGTGCACACCCTGTCTTATCTCTTTCTTTCGTGGGGCATAAATTGCCCTATTTGAATAATTTCCAATATCCATATTACTGTTTCTGATTTAATATTTTTAATTGGCTTTATTTTCTTCATTCTTGTATGTTCTGTTTGCTCTTAATATCTTCTTTTGAACTCTACTTTTTTTTAAATATTCTCCTCTGTTCGTGATACTTTTTTTAGTTTTATATACCTTTTTTTTTATCCCCATTCTTAATCTAACGTTTTCTGTGTCCCAACAGCATTTTTGTTCTAATCTCTACTTCTGTATGTAAAAACCTAGTTAGTATTATTCATGCCGAACAGATTAAATACAGTTATTCGCCGAAAAATCTATCCTACAAAATATTTACAATAATATTTATATTAATTACGATCTACGAATTAACTTTTGTTTATTTATAGTACTATTATAATTTACTTGAATTACAGTTAATATTTTATTTTTTAACAGGTATATGAAAAAGTATCTTCAATATACTAACAAATAACAATCGTATATATTCAAATTATTAACTATTTTATGTATAATATACCTGTTAAAAAATAATATGGTAACTATTATTCAAGGATTAAAGTTTCGTTTATTATTTGCGCCAGATGTCAAAAACTTTATTGTTTTAAATGTTTTTACGATAACTATCAGATTGGAACTTCCGTTTAATAAATATTAACCCGTATAATAAATATATCGTCGTTCGGTGCACTTGCCAAAAATACCAACGACGATATATCGTTGCGCCTCCGTTAGGGCCTTATTGTACTCATAACAAGAGGTCTGTGTTTCAAAATAACTTAATAAAATGTTAAAATGGTTCATATTCGATGCAATACAAGTGAAAAAATGGTTATTAGATTTATTTTTTTGTTATATTTTATGTTTATTTGTGCTGCGGGTCTGTATATGTTAGTGTGATAAGATAGAAACGGGACCCGGTATAGTTTTTCTGGACCGTAATCGCAATCTTTATGATATTTATGATAGTTATCAGAGTATTCAAGTTGCATACGTGCATAGACTCGCAACAAAGACTAAAATCTTTTTTAGTCTTTCTTGATCCTTCTAACGTGCAGTAAGTATTCAAAAACCTTAAAAATTTTCATAGAGACCCAATAAGCAGTAGAAAATTTTGTCAGTTTTGTTGATATTTTTTGGAAAAAATTATACCCTGTTACRARCATGGATGACGCARAATTAGTGYGAATTAYYGACAAGTTGKATTTAACAGAAGAACATAGTGACAGTGATGAGGATGAGCAATTATTTSCGCCAAGTCGTCGGTGTAGTCGCAGAATATATAGCGACAGTGAGTCTGACGAAGAAGAATTGCCAGATGAAGATAACGAGAGTGATAGTGACGAATTTCAGAGAAGTAAATGAGGAAAATGATATCCAATATAACCCGCGCCCACAATTTTTGGAAATGACTGGCCCTAAACATATGCCACCGAGCATATCGAAACCAATAGARTATTTTAATTTATTTTTTACACTACAATTTCTAAACATGTTAAAAATTGAAACAAATCGGTATGCACAACAGTTTTTCGAGAATGCTGGAGCAGCAAATACATCCACAACATTGACCTGGAAGAAAACAACAATCAAAGAGTTGAGAGCTTTTATAGCCGTTTTACTCGAAATGGGAATAACCCGTAGGCCAACAATTTTYAGTTACTGGTCACAAAATCATCGACACATCCTATGGTTTGGCCAAATGTTTAGCCGAAATAGATTCCAGTTGCTTTATAGATTTTTTCATGCCGTTGACAATAGCACATTACCAGCACGAGATAACAGTGAATACGACCCTACAGCAAAGTTCAAATCTGTCGTTGATCATGCCAATAGAATATTCAAATTTTATTATTCACCACACCAGCACTTGAGCGTGAACGAATCATTAGTTGGAACAAAAAGCAGATCAGCACTCACCCAGTATTTGCCAAATAAGAAGCACCACAAATCGGGCATAAAATTTTGGATGCTAGCCGATGGGATCTCCCATTATTGTCTGTCATTCTTTTGCTATCAAGGAGCCAAGGACCAACGGGACAAGAGAGAAATAAAAGAAAAAGGCCTCGCTCAAGTAGTAATAGATAAATTACTCAGTATGAGTAACTGCTATATGAAAGGATACCACATAACTGTCGACAATTTTTTTACCAGCATTGCCTTAGCAAGATCTCTGTTTGAGAAGAATACATTTTTATCCGGAACAATACGCAGTAATAGAAAACATATTCCATCSCAGCTCAAATCAAAATTGGAAGTGGGCGAATGTAAGTACCAAAGAAATCGGGAAATACTTCTATTAGCGTACAGAGAAAAGAAGTCACAGAAAAAAAATGTACTACTGTTATCAACGCATGGAACAGCCGCAAATAAAACGACTGTAATTCGAAGACGGAATCAGCAAAGGGAAGTTCAAAAACCAGCAATCATCCACGACTACAATAAATATATGGGAAGCATTGATGTCTCAGATATGATGATTTACTCATATTTGGATGAGAGGAGAATACTGTGTGGAATACTGGAAGAAAGTGGTATTTTCCATTTTTGCTCGCATGGTCTTGAATGCATACATATTATACAAACACAACAGAGAAGCAAAGGTTATGAATCGACTCGAATTTGTAACCAGTATCATTCAGTCGATCACAACAGAATGGWTAGCGGAAAAAAATGTGAATCCAGAAAGTTCATTGGGTCACACATCGAG